TGCTCAGAATTTGCCCTTTACTGGCCGAAGGGCTTGAAGCCCTGCAACAGTCTCCTATTAGGCGCCCAGCCTCTACTCCCATCCGGCCCAATCTAAACGCTGCCCCCAGACCAGTCTGACCGAGGCACAGCCTTGCTCTCTCTGGGAAGTGTCTGGAGGGCACCACAACTGGGACACATGGATCAGGTGTACAGACATGGCTAGATAGACCCGATGTGGTTCATTGGAAAGGGAATCGGCCACTCAGCTCCTTGTCTGTATGGTGGAGAAACTTCTCTTTACATCAGATAAATTGTGATTGTCTATATGAGGTCTGATCTTCCCATGTTTAAAGGGAAGCTAGAAATCTAGGGTAGTATGTGCAATGTCTATATTTTATAAAGTTGAGTTCAAATTAAAAAGAAAAAAAATGCACAGTCTGTATGAGCCAAACAAAAGCCATCTGCAGGCGAATAGAATCAGCCAGTTTCTGACCTTTGGTGAATCAGCCAATTTCTGACCTTTGGTGTACAGGCTGAATCCAAGCTCATGAGCTTTGCATTCTAGGTCAGGAATGATTCGGCAGGGACCCACCTTTCCAGTCTCCTCTGCCACTCAGGGCCTTGGCTGTCCAAGGGCAGTTCTGGTTCCCAGGACACCTGAGGCACCTCCCGGTTCCTGTACCTCTGCCCTGCGGGCTCTGAAACGCCTTTTCTCCCAGCTCTGCCTCCAGAATCCTCTTCTTCCTTCTCTCGGGGGCCTTCCCTGACTACCCACAGTACAGGGATAATTAAATAATTACATAAACCTACTCCCCCTGGGCCTCCAGGGTACTCTCCAAGGGTTACATTTCATCTCCTTGGACCTTACCATCCTGCATGCACCGTCAGAAGGCTTCAGAGAAAAGTGGTACTAAATCATAAGCAACTTAAGAGCCTCCTCCCCAGTTCCCAGCCTGACCCAGAATATGCCTGGTAGGTGTTAGATAAATATCAAGGCTTCCTAAAAGCTTGGTTTTAAGGGACTAAACCGAATTTAGCCCAGGCAGGTGAAAGTCAGCTAAAGACTGTGGCTGATTGACTCACCAGGGTGAAAGCGAATCCTTGCACCTGCTGCAAGCGGAGCAAAACTCCCCTTCTCTCCACAGCCCCCCGCAGGGCTCCTCTCCGCTGGGGCATGGCCAGCGCCTCTGAGCTGCGTCCTTGGGTGGTCACTGGGGTCTCAGGCCAGAGATGCTGCATGGACCAAGTGCCCTGATGCCCGAGAAGTGGCCCCTGTGCTAAGTAAGCCCTGCTGGCGTGGTCGAGGGAACCATGGGAAGCCAGCACACCTGGGAGGAGGAGCGACACCCTGAGGAGCAGCACCTGGATTTGGCTCAAGCAAATGAGCACTGGTACTGCGCTCTCAGAACACTGGAGCCCCTGACGGGGACTGTGCCAGTGGGGTGAGGATTTAATAGTACGGGTAACTGTTGAACCACTGTGTTGTATACTTGAAACCACTACAAGATTGTCTATCAACGATACTTCAAAACAAAACAAAACAACACTACAGCCCTTACACAGGCCTTATGACATTAAGACCAAAGGAGGAAACTGAGGCCCAGAGAAGTGGGGCTTGCCCAACAGCAGGGTGTGCCTTAGAGGATTCAGGATATCCAACTCCAACCTTGAGGACTTCTTTCCTATCAGACACTATCATATGAAACATTCCAATAAAACCACAGGTGTATATCAGAACGCCACCTTTTTCAAAAACTCCATTCTGCAGCTGTGCAAAAATGGGCTTCTGATTTGTCTTGTCCATCTTGCCTTAGTGAATGAGGCACTTGGAAAGTAGCATCTGCTGCTCTTCCAGCCATGCCCACCACGGTAGCTTCCTTAGAAGCAGGAAGATCAGGGGTGTCCACCCACATATTTCAAACACCCAGCAAAACGTGTGTCACAAAACACGTGTCACAGGAGTGGACAAAACTCTCACAGATTATTTGCTGCTATGTTCCTTCATCTACTTTCTGGTCATAGCTTGACATATTTTCCTGGGAATATTCAAATAAGGAAAAGCTACATCAGGGAAAAAAGTTTACACTTACACTATTTTTTTCAAAACAGGAGATTATGCAGTTTCATTTTCACGCCTACCCTGGGAACCTCTGCAGAACAATAAGTGAATGTTAAAGATCTACTGATACTAAGACAAAATCGTGATCGTTGCTTTACAGACAAGGAAACTGAGGTTCAAAGAAACTCAAAACCATTCATTTGCAGCTATATAAATGGGCCAGGCACTGTGCTAGGTTCTGGAGATACAATGGTGAGCAAGACAGACATGATCCTTGCCCTCAAACTCTTTCCAGCCTAGTAGGAAACAGACTGTGGATAACTTACATGAAATTGAAGGGAAACAGATCATGCCACCCCAAAACATGCCACTCTGGCATAAGGACCGTTTTGAGCTGAATGCAACTGAGAAAGAGTAGACTGCAGAAAACGCTTTTTACCTTCACCCAATTTGCCTAAAAGCAGGACATAAGTTTCCCACTGTTTAACATCATTAGTCAACAGGGAAATGCAAATTAAGACTACAATGAAATACTATTACACACCTACTAGAATGGCTAACATTTAAAAACTTGAATACCATGTCAAGAGACAACTAGAACTCTTGTACATTACTGGTAAGAATGCAAAATATTACAGCCATTTGATGAAAAGTTTGGCAGTTTCTGCTAAAGTTAGGCATACAATGAAATAATTACATTTCAAAATTGCTAAGAGACACTATCTTAAAGTTTTTATCACAAGAAAATACTGTACTGTACATGGTGATGGATGTTAGCTTACTATGGATAAGTTTATCAAATCATTATGTAGTATACTTGAAACTAATATTGTTGTAGGTCAATTAACTCTCAATTTAAAAAAGCTACACACACAAATCTACTCCATCCCTGCTCTTAGGGATAAGAACAAAATAATAATTACCCCTTTGAAAGGAAGAAAAATCACAACACTTAAGGTATATTAAGGTGCATTTTTTTAATTAAAGTATCATTGATATACAATCTTATGTTGGTTTCAAATATACAACACAGTGGTTCAACAGTTACCCGTATTATTAAATCCTCACCCCCACTAGTGCAGTTACTCTCAGCATAGTAAGATGTTACAGACTCAGACTGTATTCTCCATGTTGTACTACTAGGCACATTTTAAGTCTGTATTTTGGTTTTTATTTGGTGATTACACTCTGAAGGAAAGAATTTCTCCTGTGCCAAGAAATATTTGTTATTGTTCAGGTTGTATATCTAGGCTCACCAGAACTGGCACTCAAATATGGCTGGCCACCCAGTCATGTTAATTTCAGAAGGAATTTTCTAAGCCAACATTTCTCAAGCCCCTATTATGAACCCAGCACCGAGTTAGGCACTCTAAACATAAATGGGACAAAGTCTAAACCTTGTGGAAGGGGAAGACAGTGAGGAAGAATGAGAAGGAAAGAATTTGGCACCACTGGAATTTCTCTTCTTGTGTCTGCTTAGCTATGCTGCTGTCTCCATGGAATGGCGTTAGGTCATTATATTTCTTGTCTTGACAAGTCTTAGAAATCAACCAGACTATATGTATTTTATGAATTAATCCCACTTTTAATACTAGACAGAGTTTTAAGTAGACTCACCACTCTATGCCTCTGAAGCTCTTTACCCCATCTGTTCCCTCCCAGTTTCCAAAAGCTCACAGGTGAGCTCCTAGGGAAATGGGCTCTTCCGAAAGTCTCTGCTCTGGTATTATGCTCAGTGAAATAAGCCAGGTGGAGAAAGACAAGTACCAAATGATTTCACTCATATGTGGAGTATAAGAACCAAGAAAAACTGAAGGAACAAAACAGCAGCAGAATCACAGAAGCCAAAAAGGGACTAACAGTTACCAAAGGAAAAGGGACTGGGGAGGATGGGTGGGAAGGGAGGGATAAGGGCAGGGAAAAAGGGGGCATTACGATTAGCATGTATAATGTAGGGGGGCATGGGGAGGGCTGTGCAACACAGAGAAGACAAGTAGTGATTCTACAGCATCTTACTACGCAGATGGACAGTGACTGTAATGGGGTTTGTGGGGGGGACTTGGTGAAGGGGGGACCCTAGTAAACTTAATGTTCTTCATGTAATTGTAGATTGATAACAAAAAAATAGTAACAATGGATTGCCTTACACCATCAGAATGGCAAGTATCAAAAAAGCAAGAAAAAAAAAGTCTCTGCTCTGTTTGATTTGACTCAAGGACAATGAAACCCAATGCTGTCATCGGATGCTACTAATAATGTGTGGGGGTCAGGGAAGCAGAGAGCATTTCCCACCACACTGGGCAGGTTTCCATTCCACTGGATGGGGGTGCTGCAGGGTTGGATGAGGCACCGACAGATTGTGTTCTGACTGTCATCATGATTCTAATTGTTTTGAAAACTGTTCCCTTCAAAAAATTCTTTCAGCCCTTTCCCAAAACAACCTTTTTGAGTAGCTGTAAAAGATTTGGGTCACTCTCTTTCTCCCCAGTTTTATTGAGATATAATTAAGATACAACACTGTGTAAGTTTAAGGTATACAACATAATTACCCGATATATGTATATACTGCAAAATTTTTACCACAGTAAGTTTAATTCCACCACCTCAGTTACACATATTCTTTTTTGAGATGAGGACTTTTAAGACCTACTCTCTTATCAACTTTTAAATATACAATATTGTTAACTAGTCATCACACAGTTATCTCCAGAACTTATCTTAAAACTGGAAGTTTGTACCTGTTGATCACCTGCCCCCAATTCCCCACCCCTAACCCCCCACCTCTGGCAACCACCAGTCTGATTTTTTTCTGTAAGTCTGGGCTTTTTCAGATTCCACATGTGAGTTCATGCAGTATTTCTGTGTCTGACTTATTTCACTTAGAGTAATTCCCTCAAGTTCCATCCATGTTGTTGCGAACAGCAGGATTTCCTTTTTTGTGGCTGAAGAGTATTCCATTGTATATATTCACCACATCTTCATCCATTCATCTATCGATGGACATGGGGTTCTTTCCGTGCCTTGGCTATTATAAATAAGGGTGCTATGAACATAGAGGTGCAGGTATCTCTTTAGGATAGTGATTTTGTTTCCTTAAGATATACGCCCGGAAGTGGGATTGCTGGGTCACATGGCAGCTCTACTTATGATTTTTGAGGCTCCTCCATACTGTTTTCCATAGTGTCTGCACCAAATTACGTTCCCTCTAACAGTGTACAAGGGTGTAGATTTGGATCATCTTAATGGACAGAGGTTTAGAAACATCTCACTGTTGCAGTGATCCAAACCCACGCACCTCATTTCTTCATCAAAATCCCACTTGCTGCTCTTGGCTGGCAGGGAGGATTGATGGTGAGGGTGGGAGGAGTAGGTGAGGAGCAAGGGGTCTTCCTGAGGTGAATGGCACGTGGCGGTCGGGCAATAGCCGCTACAATCCATACGTACCTTCTCTTCATGAAGATCACCCCCTGGATTTGGCCACAGTGGGTGACAGCTGGTTTTGGCTGCAGGTGGCTCCCCTGGAATCTGCTGGTAAAAGGGTTCAGAAGAGGTCTGGGAAAGGGAGAACTCATAAGGCCAGTTGGTCAGAGGTAAAGAATAATTGGGACAACGGTTGTCATTAAGAGGATTTCTCCCTAAAGCAGTGTTTTTATTCCATGTTTGCAGATCATTGTAGTCAGAGAAGACTCCGGAAACAGGCTGAATCAAGTCCCCACTATTGTAGATCCAACTGCTGGACAATTTACATTTGTCATAGAGCTTAGTAGGGTCCAAGGTGGAAGTGGAGTCTGCCACATCGGTGGCTCCCCCGAAACCGTAACCCTTGGAAAAGGATAAGCAATCATTCAGCGACTTCTGCGGGGGTGCATTAGCTATTAAGTGTCCACTGTAACTACCAGACAAATGGACACCTTCCTGGAGAGACCAAGTTAAAGGTAAACTTCCCCAACTTTGTGTTTCGCCTGGAAGAACCTGGAAAAGAAAGTGAAAAGCTCATGTTAATAAGTTAAGCAAATGGACACAACTACCACTGGCACCCAGTTACTCTGTACAAATACGTGCTGTCAGATTTTCCTCATTCCTTCCTTGAAGCATGAACACCCAGAGAAGTGTCACCACAACCACTGGGATCTGAAAGAAGCAACGGCTTCTTCCAATTCCACCTTACAGCCTATGAACCAGTAGCGACTGCATTTCCTTTTACTCTGAGGAAACAGGAGTGTGTTTAAAATGTTTCACCCTCAAATGCAAATCTGGTATCCTAACTGCCTTTGTGAGAAATTTATAAGGGGCTATTTAATAAAAATCAAACCACAGCTCCAGAGGGTTGTATTATACTCGGGACAGCTCTCTCACTTAGTGCTGCCAGGAGTCCGAGATACTAGGGTTATTTTATTTCTTGAGAGACTCTTCTCTAAACCCAGAGAAGTTTTGTTGAAATCATAAGTAGGACCTCTACAACATGAAATGGTAAATTTATTTTTATAAATGGGGGAAGTACATTGTCCCCCAGCGAATCACAGGAAAAGAACCTGTTGGAGAATTAAGTTATTGTCCTGTTTATGTAGAACTATCAACAAATTAGAGGATGGGGGTGGAGACTGTAACAGGCAGACCACGTGGGAGGAAATGCCCTTCCACTTGTCCCACGGCTGGAGAGGGACAAGCTATCTGATTTCAGGAGCTCATATTTCCTTCCAACAGACTCAAATTACAATTTTTTTTCTATATAAGGTACACTTAGGGCCTTCAGAAATGGGCTAGTTCCACCTCTGTTCTGAAAAGAAATGTGGAACATGAATGATAGGACCATGTAGGAATTACATCACCATTCAGCCGACAAACCCACAAATCTACGGTATGATACCCAGAGCCTCGGACTTCGCAGAGAGTTTAGCTGTAGGGAGAAGCCTCCATCCCTCCCTCCCACCCCAGGACCACTGTTTTCAGAAACTTCCTGGTTATCTCATCTTGGCAGAGTGTGCTGAGGCCATCATCTGTTCCGGGGAAGAATGGAAATCTTGTAAAAGTCTTGAGAAGATCTCGGCTAATGCTTTGTGGAGGTCATTTCAGTTAATTTTTGGATCTACCAGGACCAAAATCTAGAGTGCCAAATACAGGTTAAGTATTAATTCAAACTTCTCTTGTTAATCATAGGAGGAAAGATTATTCCAAGACCATCTCAAATTTAACAGTTGAGACCATGCTACACAGATGGTAGAAATTAAAAGGAAAACCTGATTCTTTGGTGGATGCTTGCCTGACTGCAAAGAAGAAGAGCCTAACAGCACAGTGTCTGGCTTTCATTTGTAGGACAGGGACAGGGACAGGGACAGAGAGACCTACTGCCCCCCACAGGGAACATGGGCAAAGCCACCTTTGTCTCTGGGCTCCCCTTCAGCTTCAAGGACACGGAGGATGCCGTGTGCGCTTTCTTCATTGCTCTTCGTGCCTCGGCTTCCAATTTGGTTTCTGGTTTAGGATGATCATGCTCTCCCTTTGACTTAAAGGAAACAAGGAGGTAAAGTAAGTCACTGGATCCTACTCACTGTGCATAGGCTTTCCCCAGGGCTTGCTTGCCATCTGACTGGGTGTCGTCACACCGTTAAGATGGGATACTTTTTAAGCACCTCGGAAGCCCACAGTGCACTCTCTTGCCTGCCCACCCCTCCGCTTCCGAGGCTCCTTCTGGGGGTGCTGCTCGCCCACCTGGCAAAGTCACACTCATGATGATAATAAGTAACGCTTACTAAATGTTTCCCACAGTATGCGTAGGAAGCTGTAATAAACACATGATCTCCCTTCATCTGCAGCACAACCCTGTGAGGTACATAACATTATTAGCATCCCCCAGCTTACAGAACAGGACACTGAGGCATGGGGCGATTACACCACCTGGGTAGCCTCCCTAGTAAGCGGGGAAGCTAGGATTCAAAGGGTGCTGGGACTCCCTAAACTGACAGCTCATTATCAGACATTCGGGAATTTTGTGAGCTGGCTATTAAAAATATGTGGTAGCTGGAAATCCTGGTGGGAATAGTTATAATACAGAAACTGGCAAGCCTACCCATCGGGACATTTTCTTTCGAGAGAACTGGTTTAACAACATGTTACTGAGTCAAATCCAGGCAGTCGCTGTCAGCAGACTGGTACTCTTCACCACCGCGCCCGGATTCATACTCCTGAATATCCACATTTTACATATCCACAGAAAACTGGGGCTTAGAGGAGTGAAGTAACGTGTGCAGGTTTACAGAACTAGGCAGAAACCAGCGCTGACATTCAATCTCAGGTCTGTCAAAGGCCATCGCATGCCACAGCCCCGTGCAAGCCTGAGCATGACCAGATTACTGACAGCGGCCTTCCCTAGGAGCTGGGGCAGTCAGCAGCCCCCCTCCTCGGCCTCCGGCACCTCGACCAAAGTGTGGGGTACAGAAATTTGCATGTCCAGCGTGTGCCTCACACTGGTGCAGGCTCTCATTCACCTATCCATCTCCTGGACTGTAAACATTTTTTTGCCTCAAGGGAAATGTTATCTCACAACTCTTAAGTCAAATCCAACCTGGAAAAATATGAAGCGTCCGTCGTGCCTCCAGAAGTTAGTGACCGGGAAGCCTCCATGGCCTCGGCAAGGAATGAGCTTCAGAGGCCCGTTGCAGTTGGGACAGCGTTTCCCTATGAAAGAGCACAGGGAGGTAGCAACCCCCGGCTGAGCCTTGCCAGCTAACTCTGCATCTGTACAGCCCTGGCGGTTTCAGCTTTGACTCCAGGATGGCAGAGAATACACCTGGGCATGGTTTTATGGGCTTCTATCCACTGGGCCTTACCCCTGGGCCCAGGAGGCCTCGCCATCAATGCAGCCCAGATCAGTCTCATATATGGGTAGAGTAGGCAGTTCCCTACAGAGTGGGTATTTCACCGGACAGGGGAGAGCTCTTTTAAGCAGAAAAATCCCTCTCTACTTATTTAGTGACACTTTAAATTCTTAATAAAATAAGAGGAAAAATTCTTTCACTTCACAATTAGAACTAAGGGTCAAAGAGCAAAGCCATATGGGAGGCAGCGCAAGCGAGCAGTTACTAAATTTACACTAAAGTGTAAATGACTGATACCAGATCCTGACCCGAGAGCAAGTTCTAAAGACAAATTACAAGGACAAAACATGAAGTAGCTTGAGGTCTGAGTTGGGCAAAGGAATGTTGAATGCATCTATTTCACAACCCGATAAATATGATAAAAAACCAAAATAATACCTCAGCATATGATTATGAAATGAACCTAAATGGCATGGAATTAAGTCTAATCTCAGATTCAGTCCCACGGCTCCTTCTCTACATCAAAGCACTCCCTGAGTTTATCTTAGTGACCCATTCCCCAAGCTGTCAGGTGGCAGCTGAGATAAGCAACTTTCTCCTAAACTTCAGGTAGGTGCCCTGATGAATTAATGCTAGTCTCTGAAGTAATGCATCTTCCTTTTAGCCAGGGTCATGAGTCAGGTGCCTTAAGCCAAGGGGGAAGCTGTAATGGTGGGCATGCTGGGCATGGCAGATCTGTGGGGCAGAGGGGCTGGTTGGCTCTCCTTAGTATGCTCTGCGTGTAATATGTTCGGTGTCCGCCACACTCCCAAGTGAAGGCTGGGCCCCTGGGAGGTGCTGGATGTAGTGGCCCATCCCGGCAGGGGCCTCTGGGTGGATGCCAGCTTCTGCCAGGGCCAGGGCCCCACTCACTCTGCTGTTTCTGCCGGGCCTTGTCGCAGATGGCGGGCCTCAGGTAGACCTTGCGGCCCTCCGCTGACGCGCAGTCGTGATTGCACACCACCACGCCCAGGCACGACTTCTTGAGGATGCGGGAGTTGTGGTTGTTGGTATTGCGCATGGCCCAGCTGCTCAGGTGCCGCTGTGCGTTCCTGTCATCCGAGCTGTAGATGTGCTTCTCGTAGGAATCCGGCCACTCCTGGAACCAGTCGGTCTTCTTCACGTTCTGACAGACACACCGAGAACGTTAGTGTATTGTAAGCTAGAAAATAACAGCTGTCCAAAGACACAAAGGCTGCTTTGGCTCTGCAGAGCTGGGTGGGAGACCCTGGCAAACAGCAACCTGGACTCAGTCCTGATGGTGGATCTGAGAACCCAGCACAAGTGGCAGTGACACGGCTGCTGTGTCAAACCGCACACTTGCCCCCTGGATCAAAGCAAGTTGCGATTCAACCCCTCGGAGTTCCACCCGACAGGGGTATCTCTAGCTCTTGGCGATAAGAGTTATGACTGTTTCTTTACTAAGGATTTTGCGGGTGAAGTAATACTGTGCTCTTACACAATCACTGTGGAAACATTGTGGGAGAGTAGTGAGATAAAGTCTCAGCCCCACTGTAGATACCTTATTGAGAATGCTAAGGGTTTATACAAAGTCTGAGTAAACAATGGGACGACTGGAGCACCCTGGTGCAGAGGGTTCTGAGAACCACTTCCTCCCCTGGGGAGATTTTCCTCCTTTTCCTCTGCTCCCCCGTGGGCCTCAGACAGAGCCGAGGAGTGAGGAAGAGTTTAATTTGGCTGGAAACTGCTGTGTTCTTGCCCTGCACTGGTAATATTCATGCATGAACATCTAACTGAGCTCTCTTTTAAAAGGTCAGGGACTCAGAAAAAGCAATCCTTATCTCCTAAGTTACCCAGGCTTTCTGTGCTTCTCTTTCATCTGCAAAATAGGGAAAATGAGACTGCTTATCTCAAGAGTGGTTCTGAGAATTAAACATGATAATATATTAGAAACACTCAGCACAGCACCTAATATGGAGTAAGCTGTAAATAAATGCCCCAGTAGACTCGTGGGACACTGAGAAGTAACTGGTGGTTACCATGAGGGGAGGGATGGGGGTGGGTGGTCGGGGTGAGTGAGGGGGATAGACAGGCACAAAAAGTCTCCATCATAATGTACGTTGGTCATAGGGATGGTAGTACAGCATGGAGAATAGAACCAATGATTCTGTAACATCTTTCTATGTTGACAGATGGGAACTGCACTAGTGGGGGGTGAGGATTTAATAATATGGGCAACCGTTAAAACGCTGTGTTGTACATCTGAAACCAGTGTAAGATTGTGTATCAACGATACTTCAACAAATAAATACATGCTTGCCGCAGATGCTACAGCTCATATTCCTTAGGCCCTGCTCTGGTCAGCAGCTGCTGCATTTGACAGATCCCATTTAGTTCTTTGAAAGAGATTCATTCAGCAGTCTCAGTAATCAAACTTGGGCTGTGCTCATCCCCTTAGCCTCCAGAGACCTGGCATGGTAGAACATTTTCCATCAGAAGATTTTGGAAGGTCAGGATAGAAGGTTCTAGAAGGTCCAGAAGGACAGATCAGGTTATCTCTCCTTTCTTTCCCCAGCAAGAAAACATAGTGTAGAAAATGAGAAAGGAAAGACAAGACATTTCAGAAGGAAAAAAGCAAAATATCAACATCAAGATGGAAGGGCGGCACAAGGAAGCCGCTGTTTATAGAGTCAGATTTCACAGAGAATGTGCCAAAGAACACTGTAACATGAGACTCTGGGCAAGCGACTTTGTCTTGGAAAGCCTCACTAAAAATGGGCACACAGATAAAACACACTTCACAGACGTACTGTGAAGAGCTGATGGAAATTCTAAGTTTTATACAATCAGACTGGTCATCTGGGATGGCATGTACTGGGAACGGAGGTGGGTCTCAGGAAATACAAGTGAGAGGTAGTGCTCATTAACAGAAGCTGAGGTCTGCACAGGAGGGCCCATGGGCCAAATCCAGCCCGCTGCCTGTTTTTGTAAATCAAGGTTTATTGTGACACAGCCACATTCATTCATTTAAATGTTGTCTGTGGACAACTGCACATTACCACAGCAGAATCATATAGTCGTGGCAGACACAGTATGGGCCACAAAACCTATATTTACTGTCTAGCCCTTTACAAAACCTTTGCTGGCCGCCGGCTGAGACAGCCTGGGTGTGAGTCCTGACGACGTTGTTTGCCTGCTCGGAAATTCCCTGCTCTGTAACATGGAGGGAGCAGCACGCCTGCCTCACAGGGATGTTGTGAGAGGGATGAGTTAACACACGTGAAGCTTTTCAAAAGTGTCTGGCACACAGCAAGCTCCATTTCAGAGTTAGTTGTTCATCTCCTAGACCTGGGGCCACACACAACCCAGCAATGTGGTTGTTAAGGGCCACTGGCTTGCGGGAGAGAAAAGACCCATGGAACGGTCAGTTCATGCTTTAAACTTGGCCAAGCCGAATGCAAGACAGAAGTCCAAGCCCCTGTAAAACAAAAACTTAATCGGTGCAACCCTTGTTCCATGACCTTCTTTCTCAGAGGAACCACACCGGCTGGTCCTGCCTGCGCTCCTTAGCCGCTGTGGTTCGGCATGGGCAGGAGGAGTTGCTCAGGAAGAGGAGGGAGGGGGGTGGCGTCTATGCCAAGCCAAGACCCCTCTGATCCATCAGGCAGCTGTAGCAGAGCTTCCGGGAAGGAGGAGTGTCCAGGTCGACCTACTGAATGGACTGCCTGCCTTTTCCTGGGTCTTTCCCTCTCTCCTCCAGTTCCAATAATTCTGAGCTGGGTAAGAGTCAATGCCCAGAGAGAGGGACACCTCAGGCAGCCCCACCCTGGCGTCCTCCACCCACCTTCTATTCTCTTCTCTTCTGAGTTAAGGCTCTAAGCAATGCTCTCTTAACAGAACCATTAATTTGAAAAGATATAAGCACTCCTTTATTGCAACATTACTTACAACAGGCCAAAATACAAAAGCAACCTAAGCATCCACTGAGAGATGAAGGGATAAGGAAGATGTGGTGCATATACACAATGGATTATTACTCAGCCATAAAAGAATGAAGTCTTGCCGTTTATGACAACATGGATGGACCTAGAGGGCATTATGCTAAATGAAGTAAGTTAGAGAAAGATTCCACACTTATATGTGGAATCTAAATCACCGAGCAAACAAAACAGAAATAGACTTGAAAACAAGAGAATACACTGGTAGTTGCCATGGTGTTGGGGGTTGGGGGCATGGAATAGGTTAAACTGAAGGGGAAAAAATTAGCAGGAATGTCAGATACCTTCAACTGGTGACGACTACATGAGTCGTACACATATGCATGTCAAAATTCATCAAGCTGTACACTAAAGATTTGTGCTGTTTCAATATATGTATCTTAATAAAAAAATACTACTCTTGTTCTCTGTCACAGAAATACCACAGAAAACATACTGTTTTATCCCTTGAAATAATAAAAATTCAGTTTAACACATTAAAATGTGGACCTTTAACAATTTGGACTCAAAAATCTACTGGTGGATTTGAATTATTCAAATACAAATGACAGTTGTTAGGATAAGAGAGACAAGAGTGAGGTGGACTTGAGGAAAAGCCGAGATTATCTTGTTGTAAAGGTTTGTGGCCCCGTCAGGCTACCCAGCGCCATAAGTCCCACAAGGCAGAGGGTGGGGAAGGCGTCAGTGAGGCCCCGCGGACAGCAGACCCCCTCGCCGGAGGAAGAAACCATCTCTCTTATCTTTTCCCTCTCAGTTTAGTGTATCTAAACTTTTTGGTCTCCCTTTGAGGCTTTCTCTTTGACCCACGGATTACTAGAAATACATTGTTTGGTTTCCATGTATTCATATATTTTCCTGTTGCCCTTTGCTAGTAATTTCTAGTTCAAGTCTGTTGTAGTTGGAGAACACCCTCTGTGCGCTTTCCAATTACTTTAATACCACTGAGGTTTGTTTTAGGGCCCAACATATGTTCTGCATTCCACCATCTTTTAAGCTTTTTTTCCCACCAGCCCTCCACAGATACCCAGGTATCCTACTTTTCCAGTTCCATCAGTAAAGAAGTAATAATTTTGATAACACATGGACTCAAGAAAATCACTAGGAGTAAAGGAACTCACATCAGGCTATTATTGTCTTGGCTATTTATTATGCCCAGTGTTTTTTGACCTAGATGCTTTGTGGGAACTTTGACATCTTCTGACATTGAAATTAGGGGCAAACCTAGACTCCAGAAACAGGAAGGAACAGACACCCACATGAATGACAGTGACCTCTGAAAGCCTTGTAAAATTAAGGCAACAGAGAGGTAAAATTTAAAATGAAAGAATAATCATTTCTTAATCTTGTTTAGCAAATCCCCACAAAAATAGTTCCTTCTTTTCAGATCTTCTGTTTATTTTAATTCCTAACTTTTCATGAGTAACTCTTTGCTTTTCCTCTTGGTTAAGAAGTTTATAATTTAAAGGGAATAGTCTTAAGGTTTCCAACATGCAAATCTAACTAATTTATATTTTATAATCTCATGGTTAACATCATTGGGGGGTTTAACTAATATTTCTGGGACTGCTGTGTGTAATTTTTAAAATAAGAGACTTAATCCTTGAACTCACTCAAGATCTTTGAAACTCTAGGCAATGAGTATATACCCACATCTGCTCTTCCTTCTAATTTACATAACTGCTTGAAGTATTAATAGGGCGCTGTAAGAATTGAGTATATACATACTACTATTTGAAACAAAATAAAAATTCTGAAATAGGTATCAAGAATATCTACATTATTGTGTTTTTATATTAAAATTGATTTTCACTTGGAATATACTCCACTCTCATATAAAGCAATTATCTGCCTGGTTTCCTTGAATGGGAATAGCTTATTAATTCCTTACAAATAAATGCTTCCAAATAACACAGGGATAACAAACAGATGTATCTTTAAGCACATAAAACAAAGGGGAAAAATAAGATGTTACTTATGGAACACAGAAAAAAATTCAACCAGCATTCTGATTGACATACAACCTTTAAGGAACTTACCTCTTCTGAGCTGACTGAAAACCAAACTCCCAAGTGTTATCGAAGGAGACATTCAATTCAACAAAATGTTTCTGAGTTAACTCAAGAATTACTCCTTAGACTAATCCTGCAATTTCCTACCTTTGTTAAGGGTCAAGATTCAGGACAAGATCTTTATTTGCTCAGACAACAGTAAAGTGGGCCCCAGCGCCCCAGCTTTCAAACTCCCTCTCCCACCTCTTCTCTTGTCTGCCTTTCTATCCACTTCACCTGGCCAAGCAAGGGACCTCCTGGTAGGGACCCAGAAGACTCCCTGCTACCACAGGTGCAGTGTTGCTCCCACATCCCCATCACACCAGGAGCACAGGGTGACAAAGCAATTCTGGACCGATTAATGGGGGTTTCTCAGTGACCACGCAGGCACCTTAATAGGCGAAACTGTCCCAGGGAGTTCAGATGACCTTGAGATCAGGAGAACACTAGACAAAGGGGACAGAGTCATGGATGTCCCCATCAGACCTACAATGTGGCCTGATCACACAGTCAGATAATAATTGACAAGAAATACATAATCTGGTTTGCTTGTTAGCTCCCTACCACCAAGACACATCTGATTCTACGACTGGCTCATTCTCATTACGCTTAGCCACGTGAACTCACCAACAGAGCTCAAAGACTCACCTATGCTGGTAAATTTGAGGCAAAGGAAATTTTGCTGGTTAAAATCATGGTCCGGGGATTAACTAATGGGAGATGTGGCCTCCTTGCAGTTAACTCACCAGGCTTGAAGCTGGCCTACATCTATATTTAGCCTATGTATATTTTTATCTTTTCTCTACAAAAAAATGTACTTAAACCTTGGATTTTTGTGAGTTAATGATTGGGTGTGACACTGGCTGTGGATTTAAACTGAAAACTGCTCATGTCTAAGAACAAAATGATTCAGGGTGTTTATCTGCCATGCATTATGGGAACACCCTGTACTTCTGGTTAGAAACACTGGCTGGGGGTAGGAACAGAGTGGGTATGATTTAGGAGAAAAATGATTTTCAATCCTAAAAAACAATTTGTTTTTTCTTAGGGATCCGAGGCCCTTAAGAATCACAATCAATATTAATGAATGTGTGATACTACCCAGGACCACAAAATAGACATTTTCAACAAAGATAAGACTAAACCTACACCAGCCATTTGCTGCTTGGACCAAGCAAACCCTGAACCAATTACATCTGAACTTTTAAATGCAAATGTAATTTAAGGCGAATAGGAAGGGAAAGCGAAATTGGTGTATTACATTAGCCTGGAATAAAGAGACAATAAAAATCAGTGACAGTTTTGAGTAAGTTAAGTGCCTGCAGCTCAGGGCTGTCTCCCTGGGGGATGGATTAAGGCGAAATGGTATCAAAAGAATCACAGTTCAGAGGAGTGACCAGAAACAAATGAAATGAAGATATATAGTTGCATCTGCAGCTCAAAGGAAGAGGAAACACACATGAAATAAACACAGGGGAGGAATGATGTAGTGAGGCCAAGAGGACTCTCTAAGCCTCAGATCTGATTAGCACTTTCCAGCCCGTAGGCTGATAGCTGAATTCTCTTTGGATAGTATGCTTTCAAACCACCTTTCCATGCAGGCGCCTCCCAAGTCCTCCTGAACCCCTGTGCACAAGTTCTCCAAATGCAGACTTCGAATAGTCTTCAGGCTCTGGTGCCTACTCTGGTCCCCTGCCCTAGTCTTCTTACATGCTGCAGGGCACCTCTCCACCGAAAGCCCTTTGCCAGATGTTCTGCTCGCTCCACAGGCTCGTCAGGCTGAATTTTATACTTCCACTTTCAAGTGCTTCTAGCATTTTCTATAGGGCATCAATTCTCTATTCGAGCCCTGGTTTCCATTAGGCCAGAAGACCACGAGCCGTTCCATGAAACCCAGCTTGCTGGTCGCCGTTTCCCTGGGCCTGCTGAAGTGTCTGCACATTCTAGCTACTCAGAAACCTTTGATGTCCTAACGAAGACATCACCGGTCACTGCTGCCAGAAATTAGGATACATCTTTATTCGTTGCCATAAATCCTGACATATCTGAAATGTATAAAGGGATATGGAGTTTCCATGGCCAGAAGCTGCCATTAGCATTCGGCTGACCATCTTCAAAACTGAAATATGTGAGTGGATTAACTGGAAAGGAATTTGTCTACAAAGTGCAGGTGTTTGCCCAGGTGTTGCAGAAGGAATAATCCTGTCAAGAATATAAAATTATGAAAAATAAACTATAAACTATTTGTATGAATGGAAGAGAGAATGAAATGGGGGAAATTTTTTATAATAAGCCAATGGATTCAGCTTTCAAACCACACTTTTTTTTTAAAGACCAAACAGATGGTCCGAGGAACATTAATCACCTGACTTCATGGTAAAAAATAACTTAGGGTAAACAAAGCCAAACACAGCCTTCTCTTGGGAGAACCAGCCATTCATGAATGGTAAGAAAGTCTCCAAGTCTTCAGTAAAGAAAGCTATTTAATTTTACCAAACCTAGAAAAACTGAAATACTAGGTTCAATAAAATTCCTTGTAACTGTATACTTCACAGAACACATTTTGGGAAATATTTAGCACATTTAGCTGCTCTAAACAGCTGAGAGATTTAGGTAAGGTATATAAGGATTACTATTTTCATTGTACTAAGGAGGTTACTAAAACAAGACAACAGATTAGTTAAAGCCACACAGATTATAAGCAATAGAGCCATTCATTAGTGAATTCCGTATTTGTCATTTAATGGCTGTTTAATACATGCCAGGCATTGTGTTAGGAATGGGAGGATAGTTCTAGAATGCAGGCCATCTTCCAAATCTCTAATCACAGAACCCTAGACTGTTAGAACTAAAAGGGAACGTAAGAGACCATTTAGTGCAACAACCTCATGTTCAGAAGATGAAAGGGAATCTCAGAAAAGATAAACAATTCCCCAAGGCTGTTCAAAGAGGCAGACTAGAATTTCAAATCAGGGCTTTGTCTCCAAGCCCCAGCTTTACCTCACACCCCTCTCTGCCTGCAGATACGTTCACCAAATAAATATAAAACCTAATATGCTTGCAAATCTAAGACCTTTTATTTTTCACCTCAACTGGTTCTTGATACGATGGCAGAGGCAGTATGACCCAGGTAGCGATGGTACTCTCTCTTCTTAGAAAATAGTAAAGGACATTGCACTTTTAACCATTTCTCTCATGTATTTAACAAATTGAAGGGCACTGAGTTCTTTCCATGAGCGATCAAACTTTTTCTATGAACTATAATCGATACATTTCCAAACCTGAATGTGTACTTCTGTTGTGAATTTCTCAGCTGAATGTCTTGGGTCGCTGAGAATGCTACTGTTTTTAGAAATTCATGTTGGAACATGAACTTTTATGAGCCCTGAATTTCCCTCCAGGTTGGTGGTTCTTCCTTTCTTTTGTCTACAGATCTGATGATAGGAATCCTCTGCCCCAGAAAAAAATGTGTATTAGTACAGTGCTGCCCACCATTTCAGGGGGTTCTCAAGTCCATTAAATTCCTTGCTCTAGGACGTGACTTTACAAATCTTCGATGTACCTGCTTACTTCAGCTCTTGATTTTACACATGCCCAGCTTCTGTTTGGGAGCTCCAATCATGAAATTAGGAACAGGTGGCAATATGGATCACTGAGCCAGGAGTAATTCAAATGTACCTTAAGCTTTTCCCTAGAACGGCTACAACAATCACAAACCAATTAAGACCAACTACCAAGACAAATCCTTAAAACAGGTATTTGCATGATTTATCTAACTGTACTTAAATGAATGCAAAGTAGGGCACACCGTGTCCTTCAGCTCGTCCAAGACCTACCAAGAGAGAAAGGGTGGCAAGAGGGACAGATTAAGGAGAAACATTAAGAGAAACAAAGAAAAATCTTCATTAGATTGAAATTTGGAATGATCTGAATTAAGTCTTCATTAGAAAGAAAATCTGGAAAGGTTATAAATCCAGACATGGAATCTCCATTCTCTCTCCCCTGCTTGGGATAGTTCAAATTACTTGTTCCCCAGAATTAGGCAGACTAGCTTGACTTTATCTTCACTTGGTAGTCTCTAGCCTTAGCCTTCCCTGTCACCTCTTCAAACAAATCCCAGTGAAAAACATCCTTCAAACGCCAAAGAGGGAGGTCAAGGAAGTCAGTTTGAAATGACTAACATTTTCCAGCAAATTAAGAGTCAACTTTGGTCAACTGCCAAAAATGAAAGCAAAGAAAACCTGAAATGGAAGTCACTCCATAGCTGGAAAGCAGCCCAGTGTGTGTGTATTGTGCATTATTTAAGAAAGTTTTAGAAAGAGAATACTGTATCCCACAAGAGCTTGAATACTGCAGTTACAGATTTAGTTTAAAACTATTAGTATAGTAAATAAGGTTGAATGGGAACTTGTGCATTATGAAGAGTCACCCTACTGGCAAATATATTATCATGGATTTTATTCCACTTCCAGCCAGGGCAAGAGCAATCTGAGCCAAGCCAACTTTGAAAGAGAAGGCAAGTAGCAATTTCTTTGCCTCAGTCTATAATCTGGAGAGTCTAGTAGGTAAAATCCACTCAAGTCGTATGCCTTGGCATCTAATCGTAAAAATCTGACATCTCAGTTGGATGTCCAGCTGATGTTTGGAGGAGAGGAGTTCACTCAACTGGACCTTCACCAATTTCCTTCCAAGTCTTAACAAGTTAGTAGTCAAGAAGATGAAGCCAGTATCTTAGAGCAAGTACATACCTGTGGCAGTTTCATATCATTAATATCCCAGCTTAACATCTCTTTGTCCTCGGAATCAAATTCTTCAGGTTCCATGATAAAGTTGGGTGACTCACTGGTTCCCGTCTCTTCAACTCCCCTCGGAAGTGCTGGAGAATTTTGCTCTCAAAGGCTCTTAGTACAATCGGATCAGTCCATTCAAGCAGCTTAGACCAGGAGATTGTTTTCTGATGCTAAAAAAATAAATGATAGTAATACTGACTGTTGAGGAGATAAAAATCATGGCCTATCTGCCAGAAAAACCTGTTTCATTGACATTTTTGCAAGCACCAGTGCACAGATGAAAACAAAGTGTGGAAACCACTTGGGATCTTGCCGAAATAAAGCTTGACCATCAGGGACCAGAAGCACAGTGATCCCTGAGCTCATCCCTGGGCCTGGGCTCCTTCCTCATTGCTACACTCAGGCTGTGAAGGCCTTGGGATGGACCGTTGTCACCTGCAGCCGGTGGTTGAGACCTTTCCTCCTGTACACCTGTGTTGGGGCAGGAGGGAGAGCCGGCTTGGAGTTACTTCCACAGAAATGCCTTCATAAATCAGCTAATGTGTGGCTCAAGTGACAGGGGGGAACATCACAACCAGATGGGTCTATTGGTATTTTTCACATCAAAATTGCCATAGAGATTAATCTTCTTCCCCTCCATAAACTGAATGTGCACTTTTGATCTTCAGCTATAATGGAGGGGTATCCTCATGTCAAATTCCTCTAAAATCCTTGGCAGTGTGGACATTTTAGACCCGGCCATTCCCTGCTGGAGGGGATTATCTGGGGCATCACAGGATGTTCAGCAGTGTCCTTGGTCTCTGGCCATCAGGCGGTAGTAGGAACCCACCCCACCTTAGTGTGCCAACCAGAAATGCCTCCAGACACGGCCAAGTGTCTTCTGGGGGCAAAAGGGCTGGAGAACTACTGCTCTAAAATAGTGTCTTTCAACTCTAACTCAAAGCAACCTTGAAGACTTTCTGACGTGACTTAGCAATCTCCCTCTTCCCCACCCCCGACGAGAAAACTGTGCAACTTTACTTCGATTAAATTGTATTATATAAGTGATATTCAAAAATGTTTGCACAAACTTCACTTCTTCCCTCATGAGAAACACTGCTCTGGTTTCTACCTAATTGGTTAAAGGGAGTTTACCAAAAAAAGAAAAAGAAATTTGAAATGTTTCTATCCTGAGGAAAAAAATAATCATTTTGCAAAGAAAAAAATCATTTTGCAGATGAAATATGGTTAGCAGAATATGAAGTGAAACATGTTTCCATGTGTAACATTTCCATTTGCTGGTGCTCTTATGAAAAACAAGGGACATGGCGATGTTAAGCAGAACTACTTAATACTAAGCCCAAACTACCATAGATTAAAGTCTAAACTTTAGCAAGTCCCATGAGTTTTGTTCCTTAGTTATTTGATTTTATATAACCCTAATACCTGTCAATAGTTGAGATACACTGAGAGAAAACATATGGCTATAGATGACTTAATGACCTGAACATATAAATGAAGTTCTTGGCCTTTAAATAACAAGCTAAATGGGTCTCTTTCCCCCCTATCCCTCCTACCCATATCACCTACAACCTAGTGGTCAAAGATTCAAAGAGCATCAAGTCCCTGCCCCCCAATTCAAGCACTGATATGGAAGGTTAAATCCCCATGAGTTTGAATCAGATTCTGTGTTTGGGAAATAAACACTGGGTTACTGAAATGATGCCACAGGCTGACTTTAATTCAGCAGACTTAAGTAACAAGGATGTGAAACACAGTATGAAATAAATGTAGTAACTTTTAGGTACTTACCTCTTTGAATACTAACAACAGTTAACTCAGTGGTTCTAAAATGCCAATTGGAATATACTGATCTTAAAAAAAAAGTTTGAATAACAAGATTCACATTGCCCCAAATCAAAGACATTGTTTTATGCCTAGTCACACTGACATAATTCTTTCACTTTTAAAATAAGAGGAATAGAAAAGCCTTGCCGAAAAACTACATTGCTTTTTAATTATTTCCTGATCTAAGCTTTTTGCCAAGTGAATGAACATTAATTTAACATTTCCCTGAAACTTAAGAACACAACATGGAAAGGAAGACTTTTGTATCCCTTTAATTTTAAACAAGTCAACTCGGTTTCCTCCAGGCTTAAAGAAGTAGATTTGTCAAGACTTCTCTTTTTCAAAGTGACTTGAGACCAAGTGTGCTCATTTCTCATCATTTTTACAGAAAATCAGCTAGAACAAATGAAACCCTGTAGGAATGGGGTGGCCATTAACCACATCCCTTATATTTGCCTCTCCTCATGATTTCTGGCTTCCTTACCTTCAGATTTATGGAGATGCAGACAATACCGTCATAAAACCCTCATCTCTGGGTCATGTCCCAGCGGGGTCTGGTCATTTTTTATGCAGAAGCACTGTTCCTCAGTGCAGGTCAAGGTACACTATGCTAATGAGCTCTGGCAGCAGTCCAATCAAAATCTAGATGCTCTCTGCTCGGATAGGTAAGAGCGACCCAGGGAGCCACTTAACCAGCCCGATTCTCCTCAGAATGCCAGCAATGTGATGAACAGTCTGCACTGCATTTCTGAACTTTCCCCTCCTGTATGTTAAGAAGGCAGTTTCACTGAAATGGACATTGAGGAAAACCTCAGAAGTAAAGATAGTTCCTCTCTTATGCTTTCACCGGTCGGGCCCCAGGCAGACTGATGGACAGTAGATTCTAATTCTCCCACCATTTACCCCTGCCTGTGTATGAGAGGGGGGAGAGACATACAGAGGTAGAGAAACATCACGCTGATGGAATTTACTGGAAAAATACTGAGCAGCCAACATCTCCTAAACCAGAAACAGGAAAATGCTGTCCTACCCCCAAGCATGCTGCCCTGCTAATTCTGAGTGTTTCTATTCCCCCGAGCCCCCACCAAACTAATACAGTTCTCCCTGCTAGAGATGTCCTCAGCAGCCTGGGGACAGCCCCAGTCAGTTTGGGTCACCTGTTATATTCCAGGCAGCGTCCTAGGCTCTGGAGATAGATGGGAGAATTAAAAGCCATTAAGGAGTTCAGGCTAGTGGTAAATATGAACAAACACATGAAATAAACCCAAGGTACTGTGATGCATGGAATAAAGGCAGTTCAGAGGAATGCGGGAGGGGAGTTATTAAGCTGCAGGGAGAGAATCAGAGTATCTTTCCACCCACTTGATGCCCCATAAGTCTTTTGAAGGACAAATAGGTATGTGTCAAGGCCTCAAGGAATGGCAGAGGGTATTCCAGGCGGTGGCAGTGTGGTGGGCAGACAGAAAGTGGTATGAAGACTATTAGAGACAGGCTGCGAGGAATGAGCGAGCAGGCCAGGGGGCAAGATGCTCAGGGAGCCACATAGGCTGTGTGGGGCGGTGTCTGGGAGACCTCTGGCAAGGTGGAGCCCTCTCACTGGTTTTTCAGCTCATGAACGAACCCCTCTTTTGCCTGGAGGTTAAGACCACGCCTAATTCCCCTGCACTTCCTCTGGTTTGTTCTTTGTAGTCCCTCCTCGGTCAGGAGGTTCTCTGTTCATCCCCCAAACACCCTGCAGCAGGACAAAGCCTAGCGCTGTGCCAGCTGGCAAGAGAGAAATGTCTATGGGGTCCGGCTCCAGAGTCATAAAGCAGGGCAAGGAGTGGACGTAGAGCTGCACACCTATCATGATTACCCACTTGCTGCTTCCCCCATCCTTGGATCTAAACCCTCTTGGTCCTGCAGGAACTCCCCCAACGCCACCTCTTCACGAGACCTCCCCACACTAGTCTAGAACACAATTTCTCACTTCTGTGGTGTTTCATAACTCTTAATGGAATTACACACTCTTTTATATTACTTAGAAAGAACTTTCTTTTGTAATTACAAAATAAACTCATGATCTATTTTTTTGTATCATTAATCTACAATTACATGAGGAATGTTATGTTTACTAGACTCCCCCCACCTCCAAGTGCCCCC